AGAGTGCATACATGCCTCAGTGTGTGGGTGCAGAGTGCATACATGCCTCAGTGTGTAAGTACAGAGTGCATACATGCCTCAGTGTGTGGGTGCAGAATGCATACATGCCCCTGTGCATGGGACTCACACTCCAGTCATTAGGCTTAGTGGCAGGCTCTGTGACCTTTCAACGATTTCACCTGTCCTCTATTTGGTTAGTTGGTTGGTTGATTGGTTGGCTGGCTGGCTGGCTGGTTGGTTGGTTGGTTGGGTAGTTTTGACTGCCTCTACCTCCAAGAACTGCAGAGCTGAGAGCCAACCCACTCCTGATCATGGCTGCAGCTCTGGGAAGACAAACCCCCAAGTCAGTTCTGCCTCCTGAGGGCTGGGCTTCTGGAGAGTCACCATGGAGTGGCCCTCACCCTGTTATGGCTTTGCTCCCCAGGGAAGAAGAGGCTGAGGGGAAAGGGATGGCTCCTTCAGTCCAGGGTCGGGGGCAGGGATGGGGAGTGGGACATCAAGTGGCCAGGGCTCCCTGCTGGGTTAGGGCTGGCTCAGGGGTCACTAGTCATAGAGCAACAAGGATCGACTCTCTAAGGATGTCCTAAATAACACTCCCAGATCAGACCTAGGTCAAGGGTCAGCTCTCTCCTTCCCTTCTGGAGGGGTCCAAGACAGAGACTCTACACTCCAGTCTGGGCTCGCTGCAAGCAGCCCGTCATAGATTAACACTCAGATGGATGGAACCATTGCACTTTGGTGGGCAAAAAGGATTGAGGGCAAGGGCCTGCTGGGGTTGAGGTCAAGGGTGGGGACAGGACCTGGACTCCCATCGGGGACAAGAGCAGCTGGTAGGGCTTGGGGTTAGGTGGGTAAAGTAAGTTCCACATGAGCCCTAGAGGGCAGCCCATAACACCAGGCCAAGTATACTTGTTTGTTTTTAATGAGCTATTTTGAAATAATTTTAGATTTATAGGAAAGTTGCATAGCTAATATAGGACATTCAGTTCCCCTAGAGATAATACCTCACACTGTCTCACTGGTGTGTCATTGTTAACTAAATTCCCAGACTTTGTACTGAATCAATTTCTTTTTTAGATGCTTTTTCCTCCACAAATTATTCTTTTTATGTTGCTGAGAACCTAAATAGGTCCCTGGGGATAAAACCATTGAAAGGCCCAGGGGAAGAAAGTCTCCACACCTCCAGTGGCCCACACCGTAGTGTGCAGAGTGGAGAGCCGAGACTATGCAAAATCCATGGTAAAAGGCTTTTCTCAAGAGACCTGGGCAAAATATCTAGATTGTAGGGCTAAAGGACGGTCAGCGGTTGAGAGTGCTTGCTGCTCCTGCAGAGGTCCCAGGTTCTGCTCCCTGTAGCTCATAACTTTGTAACTCCAACTCTAGGGATTGATGCCTTTTTTTCTCCTCCTCCATGGATATCCGAGGACACACACACACACATAAATTAACAAAAAAAAAAAAATGAGAAGTCAGGCATGGTAACACATGCCTTTAATCACAGAGGGAGGGGGTCTGTGGAAGTCTGAAGCCTAGTCTACCTGGTGAGATTCTTGGACTCCTTCAGATTGCCAGATAAATCATGGGGCAGGAGACACAGACGATTTCCTTGTTCCAGTTTAAATACAGGAGTGGGAAAATTCCCCCAGACCAGCACAGGTGGTTTCCAAGGTGGGAAATAAGATATTATCCAGTACTGGGCTCCTCATCGTCGTCCTCTGTGGAGCACGGGTATAATGGTCTGGTCCAGGTGCTGTCTGTCTTGTAAGAGTTTTGTTATGAGTTTTCCTCTGGAATGATTTCCCTTTCAGGCCTTGAAGGTGAAGTTGAAGTTGAAAGAAGAAGAAAGGATCCAGTTCCTGGAGCAGCAAACCTTATGTAAGGGCGAAGCCAGTGACTTCACAATAGTCCTGGAGGACATGGAGCAGCTCTTAGAAATGTAACGAGAGGCAAGGCAAGCGGCCGGACGGCTTCTTCCTGGATAACGCTCGGCTGAGGCCGCTTAGGATATCGTCAAGGACTCACCGTCCCTTAGGTAAAGACCTGCAGCAGTTGATCCGATAAGGGCTGGTGATGCTGGGGCTCTTCCTTTAAGCAGATTGCCCCTCCTTCAGATGGCTCTGCTCTCTTGCGAGAGAGGAACCTGGGAGTTTGACTCCACTTCCTGTGCAACAGATTGAGGAGCAACCCTTAGAACTAGGATGCTAAACCAGCCGCCTTGGAGACTCTAGAGACTCTTAACTCGGAAACATGGGAAGAAAGCCTACACCACAGTAGCATGTGTGCTGTGCAGGAGATGTCACTGCGAGCCATGCTGTCCCCTTTGTCTATCTGGTTGAGCTAAGTTTATGAACTTGAAATTCTTGAAGGTTTTTGGCTTAATAAATGGGGTGGAGGTATACAAAGTGACACCTGAAACTACACCTAGAGCTTTCAAAATAAATATTTCTATGAATATTAATATTCTGACTAACACTAAGGAATGAAAGTAGCCTTTTTAACCTAGTGTGGTGGCTCATGTTTATAAAAAAAAGTCATAGGACTTGGGAGGCTGAGGCAGAAGGATTGCCTTGAGTTAAAGGATAGCCTAGGCTGCAGAAATCCTGTCTCAAAAAAGCAAAGAAAATGTTGGGGTTTAGGAAATTGCCACACAAACCATACATACACCAATCTCAGTTAAGCAAGACTAGTTTATTGAACGCACACCATAATACTGGACGTCCAGGTCACAAGAAGGAAAAACCTAATTGTAGCACTAGTCTGCTCTCAGTAGACTTTTTATAGAAAAAACAGGTTCAAAGTTTAAAGGGCAAGGAGGGAGCAGTTGGCTTCCTAGGTAACATATTACGAGTTAACCTTTAAGCTCACTGCTCCTGCATGAGGTAAGAAAGATGGTGGGCAGGTGGTGAACAGGGGAATTTCAGAACATTGAGAGAACTGGATACAAGTGATTTAATCATATCGCTTTGGCTTAGCATTTTTCAGTGTCAGTTACACTAATAACTATATGAGTTTGATTTCACCTTGTGAGTAACATGGAGTCTGAGTACAAAATGGCTACAGTTGTATTAAAAGGAGCAGGCCTCCACAGAAGCAGGAAGGAGTAAATGGCGTCTCCTCTAGGTCTGTGAGTTGAGCATACTGGTGTAATCCATGGTATTCTGATTTACCCATGCATTTCCCCTGCATCCATTCTGTGCCTGTGACAAGGCCTCTCGCCTTCCAGAATTGTTGGCTCTTCCACATGAGTAGCAGTGTACGCTATGCTGTATTCACCATGTTGGTGGCCGGTGCTGCCTGTCTGTGTCTGCAGTTTATCTGTCACAGCCGACCCAGAGCCCAAAGGGTCCTCTGCTCTGTGGCCTGGCATCCATGGTACCTCCCCACTGGGGTCACCAAAGGTGTAGCCATATTTTCTTCCTCACATTCACCATACACAAAATGGGACTCCAGGAGGAGTCCTGTAGAACACTGGATTCTGGCTTCCTTTGTGAAACACATCTGATCTTTGATGGGTGATTCCTCTAAGACTCTGATGAAGTCCTGAATGGCTACCAGAATTCATATGAGGGAGTTGACAGTCATGCTGTCTCATAGGAGTGCACTCTGCTGCTGTTCATGCATGCAAGTGATTGAAGGGCACAAGCAGTGGGATCCACATGGGAGCAGGTGACCCACCATCACTGAGCCGTCTTAGCCATCCATTCTTGTATCTATCAAAACCCATAGTGAACAATGAGTTCTGGGTTGCAAAAGATTTTTTTTTAAAGATTTATTTATATGAGTACACTATAGACACACCAGAAGAGGGGATTAGATCCCATTACAGATGGGTGTGAGCCACCATGTGGGTGCTGGGAATTGAACTCAGGACCTCTGGAGGAGCAGTCAGTTCCCTTAACCGCTGAGCCATCATCTCTCCAGCCTGCAAAAGATTTTTTTAACCTGCCTTCCATACCTTTCTTTGCACACGCACATACTGCCCATGCCAACTTTAAAGGGCTAACATTGCTAAAACAACCTCATATTGTTGATTATGTCATAAAGAGTATAAATATTCTCCCAGCATCCCTCTCTCTGCCCATAAGATCTGCCTTCCACTTCTTGCCCAGCTCTTGCCTGTCAGCTCTTTATTATAGCCAATCAGATACAGTTCTGGATTGCCTTAGGCATGTGAGGAAGAATGAATATTTACAAAATAGGAGCTGGGTGATGGGTCATAGAAATAAAACTAAGATGCTTCCAGCATTTAGCTCTCTGCCCATACAGAATTAACAATTGAATATACAGAGATACACCTTCACATAATAGATCCCAACATTTATTTGACTTTTTTTTTGAGACAAGGGCTCTGACAAGTCCTGGCTATCCTAAAACTCAGGGTGCCTCCTGCCTCTGCCTGGGATTAAAGGTGTGCATCACCACACCTGGTCTCTTATTATATAATTATTCAATTAACATACAGAATAATGACCTCATTTTGATACTTTCATGTATCTCACTTTTTAAATTTTGTTAAAATATTTTATCAATTCTATTTTGCATAAAGCAGGATAAATCCAGCCAATCAACATGTGACTTAGACCGTGTCAAAGGGACTCGCCAACCGTGTAAGAACACACAGGCATTTCTCTCGAGCTTGCAGAACTGACCCTGCTTTGCCACTGCGCTGGTTTTAGAAGTTGCGCATATCCATTGGTGTCTGTCACAGACACAGAGGGCAGAGTAGGTTGGTCAAAACAAACTCCTAAAAGGTTTCTGCTGTCCCTTCTTCCAGCCAGAGAGCTGTGAGTGTGTGGGAGTCACACTGACCCCATAAGTACTTATCCTTCATAAGTAAGTCAACCTGGCATCAGCACAGAGCAAACCTGCAAGCAACGTGGCGGAGTAACACTTTACTCTGAGACCCGTTACCTCCCAACTCCAGCACCTATAGCCCAGTACGCTGCCTTCTTAGCCGAGGCTTTCCCACTTGTTTTTTCCAGCTTTGCCTCCAGCCAGAGTCCTTTGAGCATGCTCACTCCCTTCTCCTGTGTATCACTTTGATGCTCACACTCAGATTAAACCATTTTAAACCAAACTTCAAGAAGCTTCTCATGGACTTTCAGAGCTTGAGGAGTGGGGGAGTACTCACAAGTATGTGTTCAGCATGCACAAGGCCCTGGAGTCCCCAGCAACACACACACCTTTTCCTTTAAAGCCCAATTGAAACCACTGATAGTAAAGATGCCAGAGGCCAGTCTAAGGATGTAGTTTAGTTGGTAAAATTCTTACTAACATGCATGAAGCTCTGGGTTCGATCCCAAACATTGCATAAAGCCAGGCTTAGTGGTGTGATTAAGCATGCTGCTAATCCCAGGCTCTGGAGGCAGGAGGACTCCAGATACGATGCTCAGCGGGGCTGGAGATGGCTCAGCAGTAAACAGACATGTCTTTCAGAAGACCAGCGTTCATTTTCCAGCACCCTCTGTCACACCAGTTCCAAGTGAGCCAATGTCCTCCTGGCTTCTGAGGATATACACACACACAAATAGAAAAAAAAAATCCTCAACTACAGAACAGGAGTACAGTGCCAGGGTTTTGTTTTGTGGTTTTTAAGGGGAAGCAGAATTACAGGAAGCTATTGTTTCGAAACTATCTGAAAAAGCTAGGTTAAAAATCAAACGAGAATCAAAGTCACCAAGATGAAACTAAAATGTTTATCTGCTCTTACAGATCAGAATTAGAGTGGTAACAGCCAAATCTCCCAAACTTGCCTACTTGATAAAAGAAGTTTTGTCTTAATCCTTACACAAAAGGAGTTCATCCTAGCCTGGACGGGAAGCTAACTACCTGAAGCAAGCAGCTGCTTTCCTTCTGTTCCATATCTCTGACCCAACCTCCCAAGGAAACCAGCCAGTCTTCTTTTCAAAGCCCTTCTCTGGCCATAAAACCTCATGTCAGTGTGCACTTGGCTTATTCTCTGAGATGTAGTGCTCAGTTCTCAAAAATAAAGCAATTAGAAACCATAATCTACTTTAACTCTGCTCTTGGATGGATCTGGCAGTCAAAGAAAAGACACAAAGAAGAAAGAGGAAAACTCCCAAGATTGATGTGGAGGAACCTAGGAGACCCGCTGGGGACCCCTTGTAAGGTCTCCTGTCTTCCTAATGCAGCCCCAACAGTTCCCCACTGTAAGTGGTTCTCCTCTGGAGTGGATTCTTCCATCTTTGCATTGAGCACACCACCCTGACATCATTTTGGTTTATGGGGTGCCAGTGTTAGTAGTTTATACTAAAGTGAGTATTTGCCTAGCATAGCCTATAATCCCAGCACCTGGAAAGTGGAAACAACAGGACTAGGAGTTCAAAACCAATCTGGATCATAGGAGACCCATTCCCTGAAAAGACCTGAGGCAGGATAGAAAGACAAAGGACATTTTGAGACTTGGGAAGAAGAAAGGTCCAGTGGGTCTCAGCCTGCCATTCGTCATGTTGTGGTGACCCCTAACCAGAGAATTATTTTTTTTTTGTTGCTACATAACTAATTTTGCTACTGTTATAAATCCTAATGTAAATATCTATTTTCCGATGGTCTTAGGTAATCTCTGTGAAAGGGACAGTTGACAACTGTTGACCCACAGGTTGAGAATTAGTGTCCTAGAGTTTCATGGAGGCTCTCTCCCTCATGGGGTGGAACTTTAACTTCAGAATTAGAAGCCCACAGTCACACAAAACTTCTACCCAACCACTGGAGGAAATCAGGACAGGAACTCAAAGGGCGAAGGAATTTGGAGGCAGGAGCTGATGCAGAGGCCATGGAGGGGTGCTGCTTCCCGGCTTGCTTCCCTATGGCTTGCTCAAGCTGCCCTCTTACAAAACCCAGGACCACCATCCTAGGGATGCCACTACTCACAATGGGCTGGGCCCTCCCTCACTGATCACTAGTTGAGAGAATGCCCTACAGCTGGATCTCGTGGAGACATTTCCTCAACTGAGACGCCTTTCTCTGTGTTGATTCTGTGTCAAGCTGCCACACAAAATCAGCCAGTCCATGTAGCATTTTGATAAAGCTTTGATACTAACCAAACACTTTTGAATCTTAGTTTTATTAAGACTCAGTTTCCCAAGTAGTTATATTGATTAGACACAGTTTTTACTAGACATCTCTTGGTAAATGTTACCATGAGGAAATCAATAAGAGAACTTCATTGATTTCAGTAGCAATTTGTCATTAATGTGCTGAACTTGAACTTTAGATATTTTAATGTCACTCATGTACCGTCTCCAAGTCTCGACTATTATATACCTGATATGACTTATTCAGACGTTTTGTGACGTGTGTAAGCTTTCTAGCTTTGTCTTATATTTCCTTTTCTGGAAGAATCTAGGATCTTTTTCTTTAGGATAAAGCCTTACCATTCATAAGTCCTTATTTACCAAAAATATCCTTACTCTTACATCCTCGGAACACTTCTTTCTT